CGCTGTGATGCGGGCTCTATTTTTAGCCAGCCTCCGGCGCTGCTAGCACGCCTGCTACCATATGTAGCCAGGCGGCCACATTTGGACCACGGAGCCTCCTCCTCCTCCGTCCCCACCTCCCTCCTGTCATGTTCGCTGCTCGCTGTCTTCACATCCACACAATGAGCAGCAGCTGTTAGCCGGCGGCTACAGAGCAGCACGCAGCTAGCATGCTGAGCTAACGGAGCGACGCTAGCGGCCAGCTAACTAGCTAGCTGTCAACGCCCACATGTGCTTTCAATAACCGAGAAGTTTCCCGAACATGAAGCCGCTGCGTAACTCTTGTGCGTGAAAGTCCTCCAGGGAGGCAGCTGACCGGGGGTTCACAGCCGTGTTTAACCCGCTGAGAGCCGTCTGTGTGTGGCGGAGCCCCCTGAGGTGCTCCGGGCTCAGTGGACAGCAGCGTGTCTGCACCATTCATTCATCTTTGGCCATTTTAGACAACAGCACGACTGTTTTACGCCACAGCTCCTCACTGTATGGACTGTAGGTCTGTGGATCTCGTGGTTTACAGGACAGGATCTGTGCAGAGAGCAAACATCATTAATGTCTGAGTTAACTCGTGTATTTTGGGCTTTATGTGTTATAGTCTTGCTCCTGTCACATGTATTCACTGCAGTATGAAGTCCTTTCACTAGAAGATCTGATGCTCTGTCATGTGTGACTCACACTGACTCAGGCTTTGGGTTTCTGACAGCTGGTCACATAAAACTAGACATTTGAGGATGAATTCAGTCAGGAGCATTTTTCACCAGGCCGGAACAAAAACCATCATATTGTGATCATTTACAATTTTAGTGGGATGCTGATATTTTCTATTTTCAATTTAGAAAAATATGTAACATCATTTTTGCTTCATGTTCCCCTACGTCTGGAGAACATGATTCGTAGGTAGGCACATCTCTAAAACTAAAACTTGGATTTGATTCTCATTATAAAACACACAAATGACTCGTTCTGTCAAAGAACTACTGCAAATGAGAAGCAGAAACCAGCAGACGTTTGAATTTTTTGTCTAAAAATGAAGTCAAATGATTAAAAGACATTTATCTGCATTGAAAATCTGATGTTTTTAGTGTTTTGGGTTTTGTTTTAGCTCATCAGTTTGGACTGACTTTATTTTGACCTTCAATATATAATTATTAGTCAGTTTTTAAGTAGCTTTTATGTACCTCTAGTCATTAGTATATGAACGACCCTGCCTTTGTTTAGGTAATTGGTCTTTATCTGTAATGAACAGCGGCCGTCAGAGCTCTGTGAAGGCCCAGCAGTCGGCTTGGTGTCCATTTGGCAGCAACGTGTGGCCGGAAATCTGATTAGAGGTTTTCAGCCCCATAAGCTCATTTATTGGCTGTAAAGCCATTTTCAAGGAATAACTTGAGCGGCGGCCAAACGCGCGGCGGCGGCGGCTCGCGCTGCACCTGCTATTGTCTCTGAGCAGGACGTCGTCATCACCGGCTTGCATTTTGAAGCTGGTGTGCTGATCTGAGAAGGCTGCAGGCGACGAATTCAGACGTGTTTATTGTTTAATGGTTTGTGTCCCTGCTGAGTTTAACCGTAAACTATTAATTATGAGCCGTGTAGCTGCGGCTAAGAGAGGCAGAAATATTAAACTGACCGTCTGAAAGTGAAGCGCTAAGAGCCGAGCGCCTGCAGGAAACTCAGGACTGCTTCACGTCTAATATTGTCCACTGACCTGCCTGGAATCCTCTGGTGAAATACAAGCAGGTTCAGTGCAGGGCTCGGGTCATGAACTCAGCTGTTTCCATCACCTCCACCCGCCGTCTGCCGGGTCCTCGCACAGCCGAGGGCCTCCGTGCAGCGCCTGCATGTCAGGAAGCAGCTCCGTCTGGTTTCACTGCAGCACTGAGGTTTAGCAGCTTTAAAATCTGTCTGTAGTCTGCATGAACGGAGCCCAGCGGGTCCAGGACTGGTGAAGCTGATCATAATATTAATGTTTAAGGCAAACCAGGTGTTTGTGCTGCAGCTAGCTGCTAGCTTCCTGATGAGTCGTTTGGTCTCTGAAATGTTAGGAAATGTGGATTAGTGCTTCACAGAGCTCAGTGTGACCCAAAGGTACTGGATCTGCTGTCAAATAGGAGGAAAGAAATGAGGAAACATTCATATTAAAAAAAAAACAGCTGGAATCAGAGAATTTAGATGTTGTTTTGTTAAAGTCAGATTATTCAAACTTTATTGTTGCTGCATGAAATTAAGACGAAAGTGCATCTCGTGACAATCTAAATGATCTTTAGTACTCTAGTGTCCTCATCAGTATCCTGTAAATCGGCTCCTACTGATATAAACATAATAAACCGATATCAGCTGATAATATTATTTCCTCTGATCTCTTGAGCTCTGCTGGAATAAAGTGATTTTTTTTTTTTCAATCAAAATTTACAATAAAATAAATTGAGCATTTTTCCTTTTTAGCAGTTTCCATTGTTGTTTTAATCTTTATTTTAGTGAATAGACGCTGATTAAATTAAAGATGTCAGATAACAAAATGTCCACATTTACGAGCCTGATGGCCCAGAGATATCCAGTTTATGGTGCCTGAATCCACACCAGCATGGTTCACAGCTGATGTTTTAATCAGCGGAGCAGCTAGTTGTTGCAGCTTATTTGTTTTATGAACTTGAATGTGCAGCGTCATTCAACTACACCAGCATCAAATCTTATCGTCGTTATACATAGCTGCACATTTAATGAAATCGGCATTCATTTTTTGCAGAGATGGGATGAAACTTAGTCCATTTTTACATTTATTTTTTAAATAATTTTAAATATTTTTTATTACAAATGTTATCCTTTTTAAAAATGTTATTAAATATCTTCTGTTTATTTGGCTGTATTGTAAATTAGTTTTCTATACCTTAGTGTAGCTCTGAGTTTAAAAAAACAAAAACATGTTTGTTGTCTTTGATTGTAGAGAAAACGCAGTGAGATATGAGAGGAAGTTTGTGAGCGATGCTGCTGAATAACAACTGGGCAGAACACCAAGACATGAGCATATCTGGAGGCTGTTTGCAGAAGGAATGTCTAAACGCTAAAATCTTTTTCATGGCTGCTTGAGGCAGAAACGTGAGAAAAACGGTATTAAATGTTGTTTAAAGCAGGATTAAAGACTTGCATTGAGTTTGGCAAGAAGCCTGAAGACAGTCAGCAGTTCAATCAGTCAATGGAAAGACAGTCTGCAGATGTTGTTTGACATTCAAAGTCAGTTTGGTTTGAAAAACTAGTGAAACGATGCCAAAGATTCTCTGTAATGGGATGATTTGCTGCTTTTATTTGGGGTTTTCCCTCAAAGAGGATTTAACCAGAACTGAAATGCTAAAAAACGTAGAAAAAAAACTACATTTATAATTTTTTAATGATTTCCTCAAGCAGAATAGACTTTTTTTTATTTCTCAAATGATCTGAAGGAACTTGTAAAACCTTCTACCGGCTGATATTTGGAGTCCAAAGAGAAGGAAGGTGTGTTTTGGATGTGTTACAGACTCTATAAATCCCTCGTTGCAGCCCTATGTGGTTGTTGAGTGTCTGAATTATGTTGTGTGTGTCGATAACCGTACAGCTGAACACCAACCGTCCAGTCACAGGTTTCTGTAAAGAGCTGCCAAAGTGGAAGTGTGTTTTCCTGCAGGATTCCTTTCTCTGCTTGTTTGTTTTTTTTCCTGCGATACAATCGTCCTCGTTGTTCTCGGCCCCGTTGTGTTGGCAGCCATTTTGTTCGTCATCATCATCAGTCCCTGGCAGCGGCGCAGGAAGCAGGGCGGGGGCGCTAACAAGCCCCCCACGTTATTTACAGGAATCCAACCTCGGCTCTGTTGTTTTATAGCGACGGGATGAAAACGCTGCGGTTCTGTGGGCTTGCTGGGACGTCATGGAAAGAGATGAGGAAGTTTGTGAGTCAGACGCTGCAGTGAGTTTCCTCCTGCAGGGGTCTAAACTCAGCTGTTGACCTCCGACCTCCGGCTCCACCTTCAGACGGTCACATGAAGCGGCCACGTGAGGGCGACGCTGAAAAGTCGACTCTAGTTTTAGGTGCTGACATTTAGCGCTCCTCATGTTTTGTCAGCACTTGAAACAAATTGGTTTCCATCATTCGGTCCAATCAGCGCCCGTCTCATGACGCTCACATCATTCCTGATCCTCATCGTGCTCGTTGTGACGAAAACAGAAGCTGATATTCAGAGTCGGACTCATTTTAAAGGGAAGTTAACACGTGTTAGAGTTCAACCCTCTGAGCAGTTTCTGGCTCTTTTACGATCCCGTCACATTTTTACTCGCTGTAGGATCGTTTTTCGCTGCACCTCTGTGGAAGCAGAAGGAACTAAAAATATCACGTGTTCCCTGAGACACGTGAGGATTCTACATGTCATGAAGCAGGAAAAGTCTGTGATCGGTCATTTTACAAGAACTAACACAAAAAATAACCTTAAATCAAAAAGTACAATATTTGATTTGTTTTTCCAATACCGCTGTAGATGTTTACCTGTTTACATTTTTACAGCCTCTACAAATGTTTTCACTCTGAAAGCTGAATGCGTCCTCCAACAACCTGCTCCTCTGGTCACTGTTTCTGAGCCGTGCTGCATTGATTTATTTATTTCTCTGTGCAAAGCTGCAGACGTGTTTATGGACATCGCTGGATGATTTAATTTAATTTCTATGACAGAGTTTTAGGGAACCAGAGAAAACCTTAGAATGAAATCGCGCCCGCTCGTCAACCAATCAGTCGCGTAGAAAAAAGAAAACACTGCACACTCTCACCGGCGGTCAGTCAGCTTTCTAGGAACCTCAGAAGTCTGTTAATTGTTAATGACCCATGATCAGCTCTCAGCAGCTGGATGTTGTAGCTGTACATCAGATAACATTTAGATCACACCAACATGTGCTTTAGCTTCTGCACCGCCTCTCTTGTGACTGATTGCTGATGGGTCTGCTTCCTCCTGCAGTGGTGGATCTCCTCTACTGGCGCGATGTGAAGACCACCGGCGTGGTGTTCGGCGCCGCCCTGCTGCTGCTGCTCTCGCTGACGGTGTGCAGCATCGTGAGCGTCTGCTCCTACATCGGCCTGGCCCTGCTCTCAGTCACCATCTGCTTCAGGATATACAAAGGCATCCTGCAGGCCATCCAGAAGTCCGATGAGGGACACCCATTCAAGTGAGTACCGGCCCAGAGAGAGGCCAGCGTCTGCTTCGTCTGTCTCAGAAAACGCTTCCTGTTTAGTAAGCTTAATAAGATGTACTGCTTTAGTGTCCTCTTGGGAAAATTTGAGCTTAAACACAACTAAATGTCCATAAACCTGCTCAGAAACACGTCAGAAGTTCCCTCTGAATCGTCTCATTTGAAGTTTTCTCCAGTGTCACATTAATCCTATGAAACAGGAGCTGCAAGTCGCTAAATTTAAAGAGAAAATTCAACCAGACGTGAACCAATCCAGACTGAAAATGAGGCCCGGAGAGAAACGCAGCGTCTACCTGCAGCAGCATAATATTAAGATTAAAGGATGAAACTTTAACGTCTCTCTATTGTCGCATTACTTCAGAAGTACGCCAACATCTTAGTGTTTGAATTAAACCTAGCATTAGCAAAATTAACACTGATATGTTGATTTTCTCTGATGTCTGTCTTAACAGGGCTCTGGGCTGATGTCTGTGTTTTGTGAGAACATGTGAGCTAGGGTTGGGGTTGGGGTGAGCTAGGATGTCCTTTTTGTGAGTGTGTGATGTTGATTGGGTTTATTTGGGGCCTCTTCAGCTGCACAGGAAGTTACTGCGGCAGCTAGTTTGGTTAAAAGTAGGACTTTGTCATCTTCACTGGCCCGGTTAGTTTCTGAAGCGTGAAACAGCCCAGTTAGCTGTTTTTATGTACTAAAGGTGAAGCGGATTATTCTGAAAAAACAAATGAGCAGAGTGAGCAGGAGGCTGGTTGAAGAACGAGTGCTAATCGATTATTAGTCATGATTTTGGCTTCCCAGTAATAAAAAACCTCGACCGACAGCAATACTACAGCCTGTTGGTTTCAACGTTGGTGTATCTGACATTATAATATGTCATCTTTAACCCTTTTTAAACTAATTCTTGAATCAAAGCTGCTGTTTTGTGGAGACTTGCGGCGTCTCTGTTCGTTTCTGCAGCGTGAGGCGTTCAGGGAACACTGGTAAATCGTAGCTTCTGTTGTTGAGCAGTTCAGCAAGTGAGGAGTTTAATCTGTTGACAGGAGTGGTATCGGACGAGACTAGAGACAAATAAACGTGTTTTCAGATCAGAATACTGTACAGATATCAGAATCAGAATCAGAATCAGTTTTATTGCCAAGTAATTTTTACATCACCAGGAATTTGACTTGGTCCATTGGTGCAAAGAAGCAGAAAACAGATACCAAAATAAAATAAAATATTAACAATACCAAAAAAAAGGCAGATGTGAGATAGAGATATCAAGAGCTGAGTCCGTTTTTACAACAAACCAGGAGACGCAGACGTTCAGTAGCTGTGTGCAGTTTGACAACAGATCCAGAATAACGAGGAGGCTCGGGGAGAACAGCAGCACCTTGAACTCCTCACCGTTGTTCTAAAATAGACCGAGGTGTGGGCGTTTGAATCTGGTGACGTATTTATGAATCGATTTGCCCGTTTTTACACAAAAAGCTGACGTGAGGAGGAGAAAAAACTCCAGCAGGAGGTGGTTTCAGCTTTTAGTGCGACGATGGAGGAGGTGGGAAATGACTGGCAGACACCACAGACTGGATCAGAACCTCCTCGTCTCCCCTACAGAGACAGATCTGATCGAACTGATTGAAACTCAGGCGTGCAGGTGTTCAGCTTAGTTTCAAAAAAAGCCCCGAGAAGAGATGGATGACAGATGAAAGGACGTGAAACACTAAAAGTGTGACTCCCAGCTCGTCTGCTTTCATCTGGGATTTAACTCGGCCAATCACGGTGCAGAAATCAATGACCTGATTACTCCTAATTATGAGCTGCAGCTCGAGGCGGCTGCTGACGTCTGGATGTGTGTCAGGCCCCAGGTTAGACGTTCTGCTATCAGCAGCGACAAAAAGGTCACGGTGGCCTAAAAACACACAAACACACATTTAGAACCGACCCGGTGGAGCAGCACCGCTCTGCTCGTCCTGTTGTGAGTCTGTCGGGTTGTGTGTTCGTTCATCCTCTTTTCTGGCCGCTGCACAAAACCCTCTTATTGTGTTTTCACCTGCTCTCGACCTTGCAGCACATCACGGGCTAATTAGCTGCGATTAGCATAAGCCGAGCTCCCAGAGTCACATCACGGCTGATTCCTGCAGATTTCACTGCAAAGAGTCCCGCAATCGGCTTTACGCTCGTTTTATTAAATATTTGGCGCCAGTAATTCAGGAAACACCCAGAATGTGTGTTAATCTTTGGTTTGTGTGACGTTACGAAGGCGTAGTGATCGGTGTACGTCTGGGTTTGGGTCTCTGGTGGTTCAGGTTTCTGCTGTGGTATCGCTTCAGCATCGGGCTTGAAATATTAAAGCAGGTGTCAAATTGAAATCAGAGTTTTGGGCACACGTTAGCAGGATTAGCACATTAGCATCAGACTGTAGCCGCTCTGCTAAGCTAGCGGAGTTGCGTTTAAAGGTGAGGCAGCAGAAGTTGCAATAAACACCACAATCTTAAACGTTTCTCGTTTCTCTGTTAAAATGAAAACCACAAATAACTCACTTTGCTGTCTTTGGTAGGTGCTAGGCTAACGTGGAATGTGTGCGCCTCTTAGCTTGTAGCTAACGCGGCCTGGAGCATCGTAGCGTCTTTCTAAAGTTGGATTAATTTTAAGAAGCTGTTCTAACTGACCAGCAGAGATAGAACCTGCCAAGATTTAACTAGAAGCACAGCCGGAAACACACATTTGGACGTTAGCTTCTTCCACAGCGGCTATGGCTAAAGGCTAACGGCTAACGGCTAACGACTAAGCTAGAAGGCAGCCACAGATTACCTGAGAAATAACGCTTTGAGGGTGGAAAATAAAAGTGATTAAACAGTGAAAGATTAACAACACAGAGGAGAACTCAGGGAGACAAACTGTTATTGATCTCAATCGATCAGGAAACACCTGAGAGCGTCATGAGGCTCTGACGTCATCGCTGCTGTTTCTACTCTAGATGTTTATTTCTGTTATTTACTATCAAAGTGATCCCTGGTTCCTGCTACCACCGACGTTTAATCACATCAGCTTCATTGATTACCAATAATCGATATCTGAGTTAAACTACCCTGAGAACAGGCTCCACTGACCCTCCTCTCCTCCGTCCTCACAGGCAGTACCTGGACCAGGAGGTGGCGCTGTCCGAGGACATGGTCCACAAGTACAGCGACATGGTTCTGGCCAAACTCAACAAGACCATCGGTGAGCTGAGACGCCTGTTCCTGGTTGAAGACCTGGTCGACTCCATCAAGGTGAGGAGGTGTTTCCACTCGGACGCGTGACGTGTTCGGTATACATGTTCCGGGGCCGCTGTGCTTTTTGGAGCCGCGTTAATCAGCGGCGGGTTGATGTCGGTGCCGAGTCCAGACCTGCAGCTGTCAGAAGCCTGTCGTCGCCTCGCCGCCCCCCCGACCCGCCGACCCCGAGTCCAAATACAGATCTGCAGCTCAGCAGGCGCAGAACTCAGCAGAGATTCCCTTAGAGGGTAAAAAGTCTGATTCCTTTAATCCCGTCAGGAGCGAGTCTGAGCCGCGGGAATGTTTGGGCCGATTACATCCGGATATTCTTGTTCTGCTTCTGCCCGCCATCCTCGTCCTGAATGTTTACAGCAGGTCATTAAAACGCCGCCGTGTTTCATCTGCCTCGCGGCCGCAGTCAGACATGACGGCTTTGCTCCACCGGCGGCCATGTTGGCTCAGAGCCGCTGCAGTGTGCATCATTAACGCTGTCGGGTTACATCACAGCGGCGAGATCGCTCACGTTAACGCAGCTTCAGGGGGAATGTGGCTCAACACGAGGTCCTGGTCCCGTTTCAAACCGCAGAACATCACAAACACGTCCAACTGCTGGTACCTTGAGTTCATTTGTTGAGCTGATGAGTAGGAATCTGTCATTTCATAATTAGTGCATCATAAACAGGTTTCTGTTCGTCAGCGTGGACGATTTATGATCTGAAGTGTAAACAGAAGTCAATATTTAAGAGCTGATGAGTGTCAACATGCAGGAAATGATCCTCAGAGGTTCAGCATCACGTCTGCTCTTTGACAAGCTGCAGTTTAAAAGACTGGGATTGATTCAGTGTGTTTACTCTGCAGGAGACGTAATGTACAGGCTGAAGCTCTCCTCAGAGGGAACGCAGCTCGCTCAATAAAACAGGAATTAACTCCACGCAGATGTAGTTAAAGCTGCTGCTACCGCTTCGTTTTCCACCTCATGGTTTGTAGAAAAAATGGAGCTTTTCTGACGCAGAGCGACGTCTTCAAACTGCTCGTTTGGTTTCACAGAAAACAGGAAAAGCAGCAGATCGTCAGCAGAACTGTGACGACGAGTCCGTTTGTCGACTGTTTTAATAATCGATTGATCAGTTTGAGTCTTTTTTTTGAAGAGAAAATGTCTAAATTCTTCTGATTGTTTTGGCTTTTGGGACTAAACAGAAAATAATCATAGTTAAAGGTTTTTGGTATCACTCCATTAAGCTTTGAGTTAATCAGGACGAGTGTTGGTTCGTTTCTTCAGGAGTTAAGGACTAAACTTCATTTCTGTTGCGACTCCAAACCAGAAAAGAGACAAACAGACTTTATGAGCAGCATCACATCACTTATTTAATCGTCAGAAAAGTGTTTTTGTTTTATTCCAGTTAGTAAATAAAACCTCAACCTTTCCACCCAGACGCTGCTCCGGCTGTCAGGATTAGTTTTTCAGTTTTAAATGATGTAGTTAAATAATTCTGGACGACTAACTGAAGGGCGTCACGTTGGTGTCGTTTGGTTTGTGTTTCTCACCCAGACCGGACCAGAACAACCCATTCCTGGTTGCTGAGAGCTGCAGCAGCGACACTAATCACGAGTCTGTCTTTAATAGAAACTAAAACATAATTAATTGGTCTGTGCTCAGTGAACACGTCCTGCAGTTCAGCCTACAAGTCCCACAATTCTCATCGCCTGTTGATCGTTTTTACAGAATCTGGTTTCAACAGACTCTCTGGTTTTTAATATTTTCTACATAAGACGTGTAGAATAAAATGACTTTAATGGAATATCCTGTTTTCAGCTGAGATCTGGTTAAATTTGCCATAAAACCTGAAGCGATGAGAGTTTACGGAGGTGAAAAATCCCCAAATTATTTCTGTTCTTACAGCTTCTGGATCTGGTAACTTGTAGGAATTTCAGCATTTTTTTGTATTTATTTATTTCTCCTCATAAAAAAACAGAAACGTAGAATCATGTTTGTGACCTTTTATTGTGTTTGAGTTATAATAGATCAGTTTTATTTCCTGTAGCGCCTCCTGGTGGTTGATGTGAATGTTTAAACTGCTCAGTAATCATATTGTTGTTATATCAACCTCTTTGTTTATCCATGAATCTGCTTTTCCATGTAAACTCATGTTTCCTAACGAGCTTTGTGCTGCTCTAATTGGTCCTCTCTGCTCCGGCTGCAGTTCGCTGTGTTGATGTGGATCCTGACCTACGTCGGTGCCTTCTTCAACGGCCTCACTATTCTGATTCTGGGTGAGTTTCCCATCATGCACCGGGGCCTGTCGGGGGGAGTTTAGGTCATGAACACGTCTGAGTTTGGCTCCATCTGCTGGTGACGTGAAGAAACGTCCCACCGCATGTCAGACTGATGACACCAGATCAGACCAGCGTTCATTTATTCTACCATCAGCGCTCATGTTTTCCTGCTTGTAGACACGTGTAGAGACACATTTATGTCAGAGATAAACAATCACCTGGTGGCAGGTGTTGGTGCTGAGCTGGTCACAGAGCAGCATCTAGACCCAAAGGTGGCACAAGGAGAGACACAGAAGTCCATCTGAGATCAGATATGAGTCAGACAGGATCTGATAGAAACGGGTCTGGTCATAGTGTTGTTGTTGTTGTTGTTGTTGTTGTTGTTGTTGTTGTTGTTGTTGTGGTGTCGTAGTGAAACTCTTCCTCCTCTTCCTCCTCAGGTCTGATCGGAGTGTTCAGCTGCCCGATCGTTTACGAGAAACACCAGGTAGGAAGCCGCCGTTACCCAGAATGCACCACAAAAGTCGCTGTTTGGTCAAATCAGGAGAATTGTTTGTTTTTAAACCAGCTGGAGAAACGAGTGGAGCCGCCACAGATCCACATGTTTGGGTTCTGTTAGTGGACGTTTCTACGTTTAATTTATTTCTATTAAAGAACAGGAGCCAAGTTCAGCTTTTTGTTCTGGAAGGTTTTAATATAAAGACTTAAAAGGTGATGAAATGTTTTCTGCTTTCTGTTGTTTTGAGGAGTTTTACTGTGAAATGTGATTTAAATCAAAGAGCTGCAGCTGGACAGAGTCACGTTCACAACAGACCGCTGACTTTAAGACTTTAAGCTTTGTTTGTATGTCAGACGTTCAGAAAACGTATTTTTTGTGTTATATGCTCGTCTACGTTTCCACCGTTGGTATTTTGTGTGTGTTGGTCTAAGTCGTGGCTCTTTGTGTGTTCCAGGCCCAGATCGATCACTACCTGGCTCTGGTCAACAACCAGGTCAAAGACGTCGTCGGAAAGTAAGTTTACAGCAAAACACCAGAATCAACCAGAACCAGATGGTTTTACCTGACGTGTTGTAAACGTTTAAAGAACCATGAAATAATGAATTTATCTGCATTAAAATGTAGAAATGACATGAAAAACATAATTTTCTTTAGAAACAGTTTTGTGGGTTTTCAGTGAATCAGCTGAACATAAACTTCCTGCTTCGCTGTTTATTGAATCACCGACTTCTTCCAGAACCTGTTGAAACATCTGAATGCTCTGATTCCAGATTCTGGAACGTTTTCTAGTTTCTATAAACGCTGATCAGTTTATTGATTAATCAGCAGGAAAACAAACAAAACGAGACTCGATGATTCCTGCAGATCCAAAACCGATCGATCGTTTTATTGATCGTTTGTTTTGTAAAATGTCAGAAAATAACGAGAATCGATGGATTCAGAAACGAGTTCAGAGCAAACTGAAGCTGGAACCAGAAACGATGTAAATGATCAATGATCTGTTCCTGAATGTCAATGTTTCCTGTTTCTTTGCTTCTCTTTAGTGAAACTCTCGTTGCTGTTTTCTGACATTTTACAGGCTGAACAGCTCATTGATTAGTTGATCAGATGGCTCTGCTACCTGCTGAGGTGTGCCGTTTGTGTTTCTGTCTCCAGGATCCAGGCGAAGGTTCCCGGCATGAAGCGTAAAGCAGAGTGAAGTTACAGGAAGTCGGCTTGAGAAGGTCCAGATGTGGGATGTTGTGGGGGAGTGTGGGTGAGGGAGGGGGGAGGCGGTGATGGAGGGCCGGGGGAGGCGGAGGAGAGGAGGGGTCTGGCGTGGACGCAGCCCTCCTGACTGTATCTGTCTGAATAATAAAAACACTTTTTTCTTTCCAGTTCAGAATTCCTTTTACGTTCTTGTCCTGTTCTCTGGAAGCAGCTCGTTTCTCCTCCTTTTGTTTTCTCTTTGTTTTTTGTCGCCGAGTGTTTTCGAAGCGTTTGTTTCTGTGAACTCACACAAACTCGCTTCGACCTCGCGTGACCCCTTCCTCTCCCCGCCCCAGTGCATTGTGGGAGGTCGGCGGCTCCTCCAGCCACCGGGTCCGGGCGGGTTTCTCTGTCCTCCTGTTCTGGTTTTTATCTCCCGCTGAGGGTTTTTCGTTCTTCGTCTGCTGAGAAACTCGAGCACTTGTGTTCTCTTTTTTTTTGGTTGTTTTTTTTGGTATGAGTATTCTCGCTGAGTTTAGAGGTATTTTGTGATTTAACTGTCGTGTCCCTGAAGCTGGTTTTTCGCCTCGATGTGACGAACGACGGATTTTGCGAACGACGTCTTTGACTCCCGACGAGGCGGCGGGGGGGCGGGGGGAGGAGGGTGAGGAGAGGGGGAGGGTCGATACTACGTTTAAAAATCTTCATCGCTTCTGAGTAACTCTTAGCTAGAAACCCATCTAGAGAACCTTTCGCCAGACGAATAAACCACATTAACACATTGAGAGTCGTTATTTCCATGTCATCGCAGCTGTCTCGTAGAAAAACTCTGGAAGGAAACACGTTTACATTCATCCACATCAGAAAAACACAAAAAAACTACAAAAAACACACAAAAAAGCTAAAAAAAAAAACATGAAATGGGATTTAAAGAAAACCTAAATAACCATACTGTCTGTGGAGCCGATATCTTAATAAAAGTTGCAGCTCGGTGTGACTTTGGGAAAACCTTCAAGCATTTGTTTGTTATGCAAGTATAATTGTGAATGATAAACTTCATACTTCAATTGTGACGATAAAAAGCTTCCAGCCGGGAGCCGTGTTTGTGGAATGCATTGTGAGATGTAAACAATTATCAATAAAGCTTCTAGACGAAGAAAGTCGACTCCTCGTCTGTCTGCCGACGCCGGCTCGCCTCACGCTGAGCGCTACGGAAGCCCACGGGCGCCAGAAAATACCAAAAAATACAAGATGGTTCAACAGTGAGATGCAGAGTCTGAGTGACGGCAAACTGAGCAGAAACTTTTTTACTTTGGTTCCAATTATATACGCACAGAAGCTCAATTTTTATTTTGTATTGCAGAGTTTCAGAAGTTCTATTTGTAAAGAAAGACTTGATGCTGAGTTGAAATCATGAGCTTATGTTCGTATAAACAAATTTAAGAATCTAAATTATGAGGGTTTTGTGTATTTAAAAAAAAAATCTAAATTATGATGCGCTGTAATTACAAAAAAATGATTTTAAGCTGAGATAAAGTTTTATTTTAAAGAGATTTTGTCAAAGTTTTGAGAAATTTAACAAAAATCTGACAAATTTATTATGAATAAAATATAAATGTAATAATTTGAAGGTACTTAAACAATAAAACAGTGAATAAATAACTAAAATGAAAAAACTAAACTTTCAGAGTTGACATTCCAAGAAAAAGTTGTGATTTATAGACAAAATATAAATTTAATACTAAAAAATTAAAATGAATTTACAGAAATTTGACTTTGATGGTGAGAAAAAGTTGTAATACGTGGGGAAATAAAAACAAATTTAGTTCAATGACTTAGTCAAAAATGCAAATTTTTAAATGTACAAGACCAAATATAAAATGTAGGACAGTTTATAAATACAAAATGTGAAACCTGAATGAGTCAAAATTATGAGATTAGTCACAGTTACAGGATTTTATGTTAAAATTCTGACTGTTTTGCTCCAAAACTATGAAACTGGGTCAAAAATGTGGCTTCAGTCGTGATTAAAGATGGACGCAGTTATTGGATTATATATAAATTAAAAGATACGAGATCAGACTCATGACTGGATTCTCCATTTTGTAGTTTCTGCTTAAAACGTCACAACTTCTCTGACATTTGTTCTTTTTTAAATGTTCCTTTTATTGGCAGAAATGGGCTTCCGTAGCCGTGTCTGAAGTTGGCTTCTCATCCACTTGTTCCTCCTGAAGAACTCTGAACGTTTCCCTCCACATGCGCTCTGCTTCCTGTAATCACTGGTTTTATTTCCCCACTGAAGTCGAGTTTATTAAATATGACCTGAAAATGTTTCTGAAGCAGACGTCACGTCTTCCTGTCACTGACCAACCAGAAGCCAACTTCAGCTCCTTCCTGCAGCTTTCAACAGGTTTTATGTTGACGGACAAATAACTGATATTTAAAGAGTTACATTTTATATTTACAAAAGTCTTCAGTGGCTTTAAAGTTGAATTATTTATTATTTTAATGCTAAATGCAGGCAGGTTGTTTTGTTCCTGTGCAGGTTCTGGGTTCCAGAAGAAGGTTCTGGGTTCAGCTACAGTCACATTAAAAGCTTTAAAGTCAACACGTCATCTGAACTTTTACCTGCAATAAAACCTTCAATAATCTGAAACAGTTAGGAAAGAAAAGAAGAACCTGCACTTGGACTGTTTAATCCAGATGTGTTTGAAAAAGTTCTGGACCTCATTTTAAAGAGAGAAGCAGCATCAGACACCAGAACTTTGTCTTTAAATTCAGAAAACACAACACAACAGGAGGTTTGTTGCTGATTTCTCTCTGTTTGCATCACATCAGACCAGATGTAAGTAAAATCAGTTTCAAAGCTTTTTCTGCGTCCATTGGATCAGATCCGGATCAGAACCAGACGCCTCCTGATGCTGCTGGACCAGAAGCTGAACATCTAAGACCAGAAGCAGAACTGAATTCAGAAGGTAAAGATCCAGTGTTCAGATGGTGAGAGACGACGGAACTGAAACCCCCGAAGAAATCTGACTTTTCTACTTTGCAGCGATTTCCTGAAAAGCAGCTGATGCTCTTCAGTAAATTACAGATCTGCTGCTTTTACAGCCTCGATGAAAGTCCTTCATCCCTCTGGCAAGTT